GACCTCCTCAGCAGTACTTAACTCTGCTCATTTGGTCTCTATGGTCAAAGACGTTGTACTGTCCCCTGACGATATCCTTGTCAGCTTCGATGTGGTCTCCCTGTTCACCAAGATCCCGGTACCTGATACCATTGAAATAATTGAAAATTTGGTACAACATGGACTAGACCCCGATACACCTGCGCTGAATAGACACTGCCTCACCAATACCTACTTTACTTGGAATGGCACCTTCTACAAACAAAATGAGGGTACCCCCATGGGTTCTCCCTTATCACCAGTGATAGCCAATGTTTTCATGGAGAAATTTGAATCAGACGCTATCCAGACTTCCACCCTCACACATTCCCTGTGGAAGAGATATGTGGATGACACTTTCGTCATTTGGCCACATGGCCTCCCAGCTTTGAACCTTTTCCTACACCACATCAATTCTAGACATCCCACCATCAAATTCACCATGGAAGTGGAGAAAGATGGCAAGCTACCATTCTTGGATGTTCTGTTTGAGAGGAGACCTGATGGCTCACTGGGGCATTCTGTCTACAGGAAACCCACCCACAAAGATTCATACTTGAAACCTGATTCCCACCACCACCCAGCTCAAAAGAATGATCTCATCAAAACGTTATACCACAGGGCACATTGCATTTCGGACCAACACCACCTGACCAGTGAATTAAAACATGTATACCTGGCCCTCAAGAGAAACGGATACTCTGACCATACCATCCGCCAAGCTGTTTCTCCCTCCATACAGAAACAACCACTTGATACTGCGGTCAAAACCATCACACTACCATATATAGCAGGCGTTACTAAAAAGATCTCCAAAAGTCTAAACAAACACAAGATCCTGGTCCGGTGCAATACAGTACACAAAATCCGTGACCTGATCCCATCCGTGAAGGATGTCGTTCCTGACATACCGTACCCTGGGGTTTACAAATTGAGCTGCACTTGTGGTGATTGCTATATCGGGGAGACGAAGCGACATGTCTCTGACCGAATTCGCGAGCACAAATCAGATTTGAAACACGGCAGAACGAATTCTTCTGCCGTAGCTGACCACTGTTACAACGCTGTGGGTGATCACGAAATAGTTTTCTCTGATACCAAGGTTCTCTGCAAACCCACGGGTTTTTTTTATCAAAGATTTGTCCACGAGGCAATTCAGATTTACAAACACAGACACAATTTCAACCGAGAGGATGGTTTCAAATTAAGCAATCATTGGAAAGATGTTCTAAATCAAACCAAACATTAAATAAATTTCAATGGTACAGTAATTTTTTTCAAGTAGTGGTATCCCAAACTTTCACAGCTGCTTATTTCTCTACACCCACTCACTCCACTCATTCACTCTACTCACTCCACTCACTCACTCCACTCACTCACTCCACTCACTCACTCCACTCACTCACTCACTCCACTCACTCACTCACTCCACTCACTCACTCCACTCACTCACTCACTCCACTCACTCACTCACTCCACTCACTCACTCACTCCACTCACTCCACCTACTCACTCCACTCACTTACTCCACTCACTCACTCCACTTACTCCACTCACTCACTCCACTCACTCACTCCACTCACTCACTCCACTCACTCCACTCACTCACTCCACTTACTAACTCTACTCCCCCCCCCCCCCCCGCTGGTCCGTCATGGTCCCCACCCGCTCCTGGTCCATCATGGCCCATGCACCTCCTACGTACATCATGCTCATTTTTATGCTAATTCCTTTGTCAAAGCGTTTTGCTTCCTCCCACACAGCTTACAGGACGCGACCTGGGCTTGGCTGTTTTCACTCCAACGCTGTCCTCATGACAGCACGGTCCCTTCACCTGATGAAGGCCACTTGTGTTGTGGCCGAAACGTCGTGATTTTTGTTGTTTTATTTTTTACCTACGTGACTTTACCGAATAGAACCAAACAGTATAGAACGTGTTTATATTTAAAGTTGCGAATTTTGATGTCACGTCGCATTTCTCAACCCCCCCCCCCCTCGTCACACAACGTCACAAATGTCTGACCCCCCCCCCCCAGGTACGTGACGTCATTTATGGACGGCCCCTTATCGACCTAGCCACAAATAATAGTCCAGTGAAGTGGCTTCTCATATGGAAATGTATAGCAGCCAAATATTATAAATGAATGTTTCTAAATGTGGAGCGAAAAATCGGAGGACCCGGGGGAAAATCCACGCAACCACGGGGAGATAGAGACACGCAGACTCCAAATATAGAGCAGGCGTCAGGGTCGGGATCAAACCCACAAACTCCTGTATACAAGGCGAGGTATTTAACATCTCCTAGCCACCAAGGCACCCTTTTTTATTAGTTGTCTTCATGAAATGTTTACCGCCTGCATTATTAGAGCTATTACCGATACCCCAACGAAGCCCTCATATTGCTTGTAGGAAATAAATTACTCGGTGGTTAACGCATCCCCATATATACAATGGTTATAATGACCCCTTTTTGCCCCGATTCGATTAGCGCCGCTCGCTTAACACACCTTGAGCGCTAAGCATGGTTATGCCTGTATTGCGGTCACTTGTGAAGAAGCCTATAGCTCTTACTGGCCGACAGCGTGGCCAGTGGTCTCTCTCACCGTTACGTGCCGACGTTTGACAACATAGTCATTAGGTGGCAATGTTCAGCCGATGGTTTTTGTTGTTGCAGAAAACAACTTAGAAATGTATGCAAATTTCACAAAGGGCTTGCCAAACTCTCAAATGACCCGATGGGGAAGACGTTCGGCTGGAGACGGAGCGATGAGACCGATGACCGACCTTTGCACAAACGCGAACATGGGAGAGAAAATTGGGGGGCCGATATGTCAGTGGGTAAAACAATGAAATCCACGCTCGGGTCATAAAATCGTATTATTTAAGAAATGTGGTGGTCCATGATACACAACACATTTACAAAGCGTTTCATTGCCCTGTGGTCTGCAATGCAATACGGTACAGCACTGTGGCGGTCGTGGTGACACTCCTGCCCCGCAGCAAGAAGGGCCTGGGAGCGATTCCTGACTCGGCCCCATTTCTGCGTGCAGTTTGCATGTTTTCTTCCTGTTCTGCAGAGTGTGAGTGTGTGAGAGCGAGTGTGTGTGGAGTCTATGTTTTCTGGGTTCTTCGGTTTTCTGGCGCTGATGTTGGCGACGCGCGTTGCCCGAGCGTCTTCAGAGCACGCGCCGATCGAGCAGTGCCCATCGTCCCAGCAAGCGTCTCGTCCGCTGTGAGTCGCGGTGGCTAGGAGATGTTAACTCCCTCGACAGGTACGCAGGAGGTCGTGCGTTTTTATCCCGACCCTGACGCCTGCTGTATATTTGGAGTTTGCGTCTCTCTCTCTCTCCCTACCCACTGTCGCGTGGATTTTTTCCTCCGGATCCTCCGGTTACTCCCTCCCACATTTTACAATCAGCATCACGCGTTTCAGAGTATTTGGCTGCTCGAAATGTCCTCGTGATGACGCGAGGACATGGCCAGGTCACTTCTTCCAAAAAAGAGCTACATAGCTCAGTGGGGCCTTTACCTGGTAAAATAAGTACAAAAATGAAAACAGTCTCGGCCACCGTGATGGTGATCACTTGCTCATCATTTCACCGGCTCGATGGCCTCGCTTCCTGCCATCTCCCCGCTCGCTCTTCGACAGCGTGCGGCCGAAGAAAGGGCGGCGATCTGAGATTCGGGTTCTCCATAGAGCAATAATGATGATGACGATGACAATGACGACCATGCAAATGATACCTAACGCGCGCACGTTTTTTGCTAACGGAAATCGAGAACTCGGGGAGGCGCGAGGCAGTTGAGAGCCACTCAATTGCTCTGTCCGGGAGTTGGTGAAAATTGCAGGTACACCACACTCACTCATCCACTTACTCATCCACTTACTCGCTCACTCATCCATGCCCATTTATTCGCTCACCCGTCCACTCACTCGCCTTACTCACGCACCCACATATTCACTCATCTACCCACTAACTCACCGACCCATTTATTCACCTACTCGTTCACTCGTCCACTCACTCACCGACCCATTTATTCACCTACTCGTTCACTCGTCCACTCACTCACCGACCCATTTATTCACCTACTCGTTCACTCGTCCACTCACTCACCGACCCATTTATTCACCTACTCGTTCACTCGTCCACTCACTCACCGACCCATTTATTCACCTACTCGCTCACTCATCCACTAACTCACCGACCCATTTATTCACCTACTCGTTCGCTCATCCACTCACTCACCGACCCATTTATTCACCTACTCGCTCACTCATCCACTAACTCACCGACCCATTTATTCACCTACTCGTTCACTCGTCCACTCACTCACCGACCCATTTATTCACCTATTTGTTCACTCATCCACTCACTCACCGACCCATTTATTCACCTACTCGTTCACTCGTCCACTCACTCACCGACCCATTTATTCACCTACCCGTTCACTCGTCCACTCACTCACCGACCCATTTATTCACCTACCCGTTCACTCATCCACTCACTCACCGACCCATTTATTCACCTACTCGTTCACTCATCCACTCACTCACCGACCCATTTATTCACCTACTCGTTCGCTCATCCACTCACTCACCGACCCATTTATTCACCTACTCGCTCACTCATCCACTAACTCACCGACCCATTTATTCACCTACTCGTTCGCTCATCCACTCACTCACCGACCCATTTATTCACCTACTCGCTCACTCATCCACTAACTCACCGACCCATTTATTCACCTACTCGTTCACTCGTCCACTCACTCACCGACCCATTTATTCACCTATTTGTTCACTCATCCACTCACTCACCGACCCATTTATTCACCTACTCGTTCACTCATCCACTCACTCACCGACCCATTTATTCACCTACCCGTTCGCTCATCCACTCACTCACCGACCCATTTATTCACCTACCCGTTCGCTCATCCACTCACTCACCGCCCACCCATCCCCCCCTCCCCGTACGTCCTCACGCCACGCTCGCGCTCCCCCGCCACGGCCCGGCGGCGGGGGAGCTGGCTCCCGCGCCGCCCATGGGGCTCATCGAGTCGCTGTACGATCGGCTGTACATGGCTCCGGACTGCCGCCCCCTCGGCCCGCGTCCCCCGTCGTCGCCGGCGCTGCTGCCGCCGACGCCGTCTCCGCCGGCCGCGGCGCCTCCGGCCCCTCCGCCGCCTTCGTCCTCGCCGCCGTCGTCCCGGCAGCGGCACCGCCGCCGCCACCAGCGCCGCCGCCAGCAGCGCCGCCACCGGCGCCAGCAGCGATGCCGCCGGCGCCGGCCGAGCAGCGGCGTCGCCTCGAGCAGCCGCAGCAGGGCCCGCCGCAGCTCGCGGCTGCCCAGGGCGCACACCGCGGGGTTGAGCGCCGACTGCAGCAGCGCCGGCAGCAGGAACCAGCGCTCCTTGAGCAGCAGCGGGCAGCGCTGGGCGCTCCCGCACGCCGCGTCCATCACGAAGAGCACGAAGAGCGGCGCCCAGCACGCCGTGAAGACGCACAGCACCGCCGAGACGGTGCGCAGCAGGGACAGCGAGCGCAGGCCCGAAGAGCGTCGGTGCCGCTGCTGCTGCTGCTGCTGCTGCAGGTGCTGCTGCTGCTGCTGGTGCTGCTGCTGCTGCTGGTGCTGCTGCTGGTGCTGCTGCTGTTGCTGCTGGTGCTGCTGCAGGTGCTGCTGCTGCTGGTGCTGCTGCTGCTGGTGCTGTTGCTGCTGGTGGTGCTGCTGTTGGTGCTGTTGGTGCTGCTGCTGGTGCTGCTGCTGCTGTTGCTGCTGTTGGTGCTGTTGCTGCTGCTGCTGGTGCTGCAGCTGTTGCTGCAGGTGCTGCTCGTGCTGCTGCTGGCGCTGCTGGTGCTGCTTAAGGCGCTGCTGGTGCCGCTGCTGCTGCTGCAGGTGTTGATGGTGCTGAGGAGCGGGAGGAGATGGCGGTGAAGGTGGAGGAATGGTGGAGAAGTCGCCAGCCGCTGGTTGAGGAGGTGGCGATGGTTGTGGTGTCGTCGTCCGGACTGTGAGTGCACGCGGTGTATCCTCAGCATATCGCAGAAGTTTTGTGGTGCCCTCCCGTGCTGTCCTAGAACGTCTGGAGCCACGACCACCACCACCAGCGGCACCATCCCCAACACGACCATCACCACCACCAGCGCCACAACCACCAGCACGACCACCACCAGCATCAGCGCCACAACCACCAGCACGACCACCACCAGCATCAGCATCAGCATAACAACCACCACGACTTGCCCAACCTCCAGCACGGCCAACACCAGCAGTAGCGGCATAGCGACCACCAGCGCGACCACAACCGCCACCGCCAGCACCACCAACACGACCACCACCAACACCACCACTATCACTAGCAGCACGACCAGTAACACCACTATCACTAGCAGCACGACCACCACCAACACCACCACGACCACCACCACTATCACCACCAGCACGACCACAACCACCACCGCCAGCACCACCAATACGACCCCCACCAACACCACCACCACTATCACCACCAGCACGACCAGTACCACCACTATCACTAGCAGCACGACCACCACCAACACCAGCACGACCACCACCAACACCACCACCACAACCACCACCACTATCACTAGCAGCACGACCACCACCACTATCACTAGCAGCACGACCACCACCAATACCAGCACGACCACCACCAACACCATCACGACCACCACCACTATCACTATCAGCACGACCACCACCAACACCACAACCACAACCACCACCACTATCACTAGCAGCACGACCACCACCGCTATCACTACCAGCACGACCACCACCAATACCATCACGACCACCACCGCTATCACTATCAGCACGACCACCACCAACACCAGCACGACCACCACCGACACCAGCACGACCACCACCGCTATCACTAGCAGCACGACCACCACCAGCACGACCACCACCGACACCACCGCTATCACTAGCAGCATGATCATCAGCAGCAGCAGCGGCGGCAGAATTGGCTGCAGCAGGAGTCGTAGACGATGACGCGGCAACGTCGCTGCATTTCCGCCAGCGCCTGAGCTCAGGCTGCTCCTTCAGCGAGGCGTTCCGGACGCGGTGGAGCAGCGGAGGAAGAGGAGCAGCAGCAGCAGTAGCAGCCAGTGCCGGCACAGGAGCTTGGTGGTGGTGTCCCCTCGGGGAAGGAGTCCCTGGCCCGCTCACCCCGTTGGCGGCGCCCCAGCGAGCCGCCGCGCGCCTCCCAGAGGACCTCTCGGCATCGCAGCTCCTGGTGGAGGCGCGGGCGCTGCCCTCCCTCATCAACATCCCCCGCCAGCGCTCCACGCCCCCTCCGCCTACCTCCCTCACCGCCGCGGCCACCGCCGCTGCTGCCGTTCCTCCGATACCGCCTCGTCCACCGCCGCCGCCGCCGCCGCCTCGTCCGTCACTTCCCAGTCCTGACCTGGGGTGGACCTCTCTCCTGGTGGCGCGCCGCGTCAGCCGGGCCCTCACCCTGCAGTAGATGCGCGCGTACAGCCCCGCGATGGCCACGAGCGCCACGGTGAGCAGCGAGCCGCAGAACAGCAGGTAGGAGCGCGCGTGCAGGGGCAGCACGGCGGAGCACGAGGGCAGCGCTCCCAGGCAGTTCCACCCCATCGAGGGCAGCGCGCCGAGCAGCAGCGCCAGGGTCCAGCACGCGGCCGGGGCCACGAGCGACGCGGGCCTGCCGGTGGCCTTGCCGCCAGAGGCCGCGGGCAGGGCGGACGAGGGCCTGAGGCGCACCATGGTCACGTGCCTCTCGAGCGCGATGGCGAGCAGCGTGAAGACGGAGGCGGCCAGCGCCACGAGGACGCTGCCCTCGCGCACGAACCACAGCGCCGGCGTGAGGCCCCGGGGCGTCGCGCCCCCCGACAGGAGCACGTTGGCGCAGAAGGTGGCGCCGGCGAGCAGGTCGCAGAGGGCGAGGTTGGCGAGGAGGGCAAAGGCCGGCGTGTGGAGGCGGCGGCGCGACGCGATCGACGCCAGCACCAGCGAGTTGGCGGCGACCACGAGGCCGCAGACGGTGAGCAGCAGGGCCCCGGCCGCGCCGAGGCCCCGCGAGGAGGCCGGCCGGCCCAGCTTGCCTGTGTAGTTGTAGTGCACGCGCACCAGGCCCGCATCCCAGTAGGGGCCCGCGTCCGTCATTTTTGTGAGTCTGCGCGGAATAAGGGTGGGGGAGGTGGGGGAGGTGGGCAGTTTTGAGAAGTTGCGGTCACTGGTGTGATTTCACGGTGGCAGTGGTTGGTGGTGTCAGTGGTAGCGGTGTCAGTGGTGGTGGTGGTGTCAGTGTCTGGCAAAAAACAACCCCATATCTCCTCGGTGGTCCCGGGCAGGAACGCTGTGGTGGATGTGAGCAATGCCATGGGAGGAAAGGCCAATTCGAATTAGCTATACCCCTCATGGTGCTTATAGCCACCGTAGTGGCCAAATGGCGGCTCTGGATGGGTGCGAGGGGCTGGTAACCCCTCCACCTTCAAGTTAACTACCTCTAAACTACGTGGACATAAATCTAAGCTTGTGCCGGTGGCACCGGGGTGACAGGCTTCTATGACGTCTCCTGGCCAAACCCCATTGGGTGGAGCCAGGAGACTGAATCCTTACCTTCGGGGCTCCTTCAGAAATGATAAAATGCCACTGTGAGTGGCCACGTGGAATGTTCGAATGCTTACTTCGGAGGAGAGGCTGCCACTCCTTTGTCGGGAGCTGGACTGGTACCGTTTGGATATCTGCTAGATCCAGGAGGTCTGGTGGACTGATGACGATTGGTGGTTGCTTATGGCCCCAGGAATACAGGCAAGGCCGATGAGTTAGATGCCTTCTATGACCTGTCACAGGTGCTAGCTAAAGTGGCCCCTCGGGATAGAGTTATCCTGTTGGGTGACTTTAATTCCCAAGTGGGTTATGATGCTGGCACCTGGACTGGAGTGATTGGAAGACATGGGGCAGATCAGCTCAATAACGGTAGGAGGCTGCTAGACTTATGTGCAACCTATGGGCTTGTAGTCACCAACACGCTATTCCATCATCGGCGCATCCACACAACATCATGAATGCACGCCGGGTCCAAGTAAGAACATCTGCTGGATTATATAGTGATGGACCAGCGGATGCGGGCCCATGTCTTTGACAGCAGAATCTACCATAGAGCTTATCTGCCCACTGACCATCGGCTTGTCATCTGTAAGATGTACCTGCCATTCTTTCACTTCGGTGGTGGGTGTCCATCTAGGACCCCAATTCAAATCCACAGTGGCATGGTCTCAGCTGATGAAAGTTTCAATCGAGAATTTAATGACCACTTGCAGCTGGTGTTGACATTGTACCTCCCTCCTCCTGATGCCAAAGAGACATGGGCAAGGTTTAGGATTGTGGCTCATTCAGCTCCAATGGCTACTTTGGGTACACAGTCCAGACCTCCCCAGAGACCCTGGCTGATGGAGGAGGTGTTCAGGCTGGCTGAGAAAAAGCAACAGGCCCACTCTCATAGTTTACAGCACCCCGCGTCAGAGAATGAGGAGGCTTACCGCAGCCTTCGCTCGGAGGTTCGGAGAGCCTTGCAGCACTGCAAGAATAAGTGGTGGTCGGCTGAGGAGATGGAAACTTCCTCAGTAGCCCGCGATCGCAATTCACTCGTTAACTCCATCAAAAAGTAACTTTCAGGGCCACACATATCACCATCTTTAGTGGAATTAAAGGTGAGCCGATCTCCAACTCTCAGGAACAGATTTGTAAATTTGCTGAGCATTTCTGTGAGGTCTTGTAGGAGGGGAAATCCCTCAGCCTGGAAAACATCACGGGGCACAGTGGAGATGACCCTGCTGAGGCTGCCATGCCTCAAATATTTGAAAAAGTAGTCACCCTCCGTGAGTGGCTGGCTGAAGTACCATCTGTTGAGGAAGTACGGAAGGCGATCCAGTCTTAGACCAGGAAAAGCGCTGGACAGAGATGATCTCTAAACAAAATGCTGAGGGAGGGTGGCATTTGTGTGCAGAATGCCATATACGACATCATAACTGTCTGGACCACTGGATGGAATTCGCAGAAGGGGGGGGGGGGGGGGGGGCATACAGACTGTAACAACTACAGGGCCATCTCCCTCCTCAGTGTGCCGGGAAAGGTCCTGGCAAGGATTATTCAGCATGGCCTTGCCAGGCATGCTGAGGAGAGGCTTGTGGAGCCCCAATGTGGTTTCGACCAAGGCAAATGGTGGTTGTTGTTGGTGTCAGTGGTGTCAGTGGTGAGGATGTTGGTGGTGGTCATGTCGCAGCTGGTGGTGGTGGAGACGGTGGTGGTGCCATTGATGTTGAAGGTTGCAGTGGTGGTGTTGGTGGTTTCAGCTAATGGTGGGGGTGATTTTGACATTCGTGGTAATTTTGGTGGTATATTTGGAAGGGAAAAAATTATTTGGCGATGCTTGCGTTGACAGTGGGGTCGTTTCCTGTAACCTGCTTATTATATATTTACATTTTTTTTCCTTTTAAGGACACAGTGCTGCTATCTAAATCTCTCATCTCACTACATCTCCATCTAACTACATCTCAAACTCACTACACCTCTATCTCACTACATCTCACTACATCTCTATCTCACTACATCTCACTACATCTCACTACATCTCTATCTCACTACATTTCCATCTCACTACATCTCTAACTCACTACATCTCTATCTCACTACATCTCACTAAATCTCTATCTCACTACATCTCACTATATCTCTATCTCACTACATCTCTATCTCACTACATCTCCATCTCACTACATCTCTAACTCACTACATCTCTATCTCACTACATCTCCATCTCACCACATCGCTATCTCACTACATCTCTATCTCACTACATCTCTATATCACTACATCTCTATCTCACTACATCTCTATCTCACTACATCACACTACATCTCCATCTCCATCTCACTACATCTCTATCTCACTACATCTCTATCTCACTACATCTCCATCTCACTACATCTCTAAATCACTACATCTCTATCTCACTACATCTCTATCTCACTACATCTCTATCTCACTACATCACACTACATCTCCATCTCCATCTCACTACATCTCTATCTCACTACATCTCTATCTCACTACATCTCTATCTCACTACATCTCCACCTCACTACATCTCTAAATCACTACATCTCTATCTCACTACATCTCTATCTCACTACATCTCTATCTCACTACATCTCCATCTCACTACATCTCTATCTCACTACATCTCTATCTCACTACATCTCACTACATCTCTATCTCACTACATCTCACTACATCTCTATCTCACTACATCTCTATCTCACTACATCTCACTACATCTCTATCTCACTACATCTCTATCTCACTACATCTCTATCTCACTACATCTCTATCTCACTACATCTCCATCTCACTACATCTCTAAATCACTACATTTCTATCTCACTACATCTCTATCTCACTACATCTCTATCTCACTACATCACACTACATCTCCATCTCCATCTCACTACATCTCTATCTCACTACATCTCTATCTCACTACATCTCTATCTCACTACATCTCCATCTCACTACATCTCTAAATCACTACATCTCTATCTCACTACATCTCTATCTCACTACATCTCTATCTCACTACATCTCTATCTCACTACATCTCCATCTCACTACATCTCTATCTCACTACATCTCTATCTCACTACATCTCACTACATCTCTATCTCACTACATCTCTATCTCACTACATCTCTATCTCACTACATCTCTATCTCACTACATCTCACTACATCTCTATCTCACTACATCTCTATCTCACTACATCTCTATCTCACTCCATCTCTCATCTCACTCCATCTCACTACATCTCTATCTCACTACATCTCTATCTCACTACATCTCACTACATCTCTATCTGACTACATCTATATCTCACTACATCTCCATCTCACTACATTTCTATCTCACATCTCTCATCTCACTACATCTCACTACATCTGCATATCACTACATCTCCATCTCACTACATCTCCATCTCACTACATCTCTATCTCACTACATCTCTATCTCACTACATCTCTAACTAACTACATGTCACTACATCTCACTACATCTCTATCTCACTATATCTCTATCTCACTACATCTTTATCTCACTACATATCCATCTCACTATATCCCTATGTCACTACATCTCTATCTTACTACATCTCACTACATTTATATCCCACTACATCTCTATTTCACTACATCTCTATCTCACTACATATCTATCTCACTCCATCTCTATCTCACTACATCTCTATCTCACTACATCTCTATCTCACTACATCTCTATCTCACTACATATCTATCTCACTACATCTATATATCACTACTTCTCACTACATCTCTATCTCACTACATCTCTATCTCACTACATCTCTATCTCACTACATCTTTATCTCACTACATCTCCATCTCACTACATCTCACTACATCTCCATTTCACCACATCTTCATCTCACCACATCTCCATCTCACTACATCTCCATCTCACTACATCTCACTACATCTCCATCTCACTACATCTCCATCTCACTAAATCTCCATCTCACTACATCTCTATCTCACTACAGCTCACTACATCTCCATCTCACTACATCTCACTAAATCTCCATCTCACTACATCTATATCTCACTACATCTCACTACATCTCCATCTCACTAATCTCCATCTCACTACATCTCTATATCACTACATCTCTATCTCACTACATCTCACTACATCTCTATCTCACTACATCTCCATCTCACTACATCTCTTTCTCACTACATCTCTATCTCTCTACATCTCCATCTCACTATATCTCTATCTCACTACATCTCCATCTCACTACATCTCTATCTCACTACATCTCTATCTCACTACATCTCACCACATCTCTATCTCACTACATCTCCATCTCACTACATCTCTATCTCACTACATCTCTATCTCACAACATCTCTATCTCACTACATCTCTATCTCACTACATCTCACTACATCTCTATCTCAATACATCTCACTACATCTCTATCTCACTACATCTCTATCTCACTATATCTCTATCTCACTACATCTTTATCTCACTACATCTCCATCTCACTATATCCCTATGTCACTACATCTCTATCTCACTAC